GTGGTTAAAAATGAAGGAAAAGTTATTGATGTGATGGAAAATATTATTTTATTGAAGAATGTGTGGTTAAAAATGAGTAGTAGAATGAGAATGAAAAAAATAATGTGTACCAAACAGGGCCTTAAGTCAAAAAGATGCTTCAAAGAAAATTTTCATATGCATAATATATGTAGCTAGATGAGAACTATACATCACAAACCTTAAGCCCTATATTTCATGTCAAAATATATTTCAGAGAAGAAGAACCGCTCAGGTAAGGATGCTAAGAATGAAAAATGGACATATATCAGTAAGGATCAAACAGGCAAATAAAATACCCAATTCCCCAATATAAAGCTACTGGCGGCAAGAAAGTGTAGGGACCTTATAACTGGATTATGATTTAGTGCTGATGGATTTGAACCATCGAGCTTGAAGAAGATCAGGGGAACATAAAACAAGTAATAAATATAACATTTAAGAACGGTCAATTTAGGTAGTATCTACATTATGTGCCATCAAAGTCAAAATATATAAAGGATAACATACTTGGGAATTTACCGTGTTTAATACATCTAAATATTTTCCATATTCTTCTGGCACTTGAATACAATTATGATTTATTTAGAACCTGTTACATGCCTAGCTTAGTAAAAATATTTGTTTAATATCACTGTAAACCTCATACATGGGGATATGCAGTATATTTTTCCTAAATATGCAGGTAAATCAATAGTTAATAGTACATGTTTTCACTGGAAAACGAAGTACTCTGAGAATTACCGAGCCACTCTCTCCAATCAGTGAGCTAAATTTATGAGCGTTTGTCCACTCCTATGCAGTAAAAATATGACAAGACATCAGAATAACAAAACGCAGCATGCATAATCTAGATAATGCAGCAGAAGAATTCAAACCTTCTGTTGTTTTAGTTGCATAGCAATGTCCTCGGCAACCTTGGTATAATATTCACTGTTATGATAATCAAATATGTCTAATGTTATACCATATTTCAAAGCATCTTGTGATATATGCTCTTCAAATTACCTTCTTTCTACAAATTTTGCTGCCAGGCTTAGTCTTTCTTGTTGCATAAGGTCCAATGTCTGCATGCCAAAGAAGCAAGATGAGAGTCATTCTAAATGGTTCGTGAGTTGGAGAGAGATCTTTGTGGCCTACAGCTAGGCTTAATCCTGTCTCAGCTGTGAAGTGCGTCGGCAAGTCAAGTTGCATAAAATAATATGCACATCAACGTGTGCCTTCACAAGGTCTGTGACAAGATTTACTTCTAGAATTTCAGGTAGAAACATTCCCCCAGTTGTGTAAGAACACAATGTCTGAGCCCATAAAATTTCATTTTCTTTCTTTATCATGTGCCGTACTTTTCACTCGTCTCTAGTATCAACTGGTTCTTTCTTCAAAAACCTACGGAGAAATTGCAGTTCAACTTGCTAATGCATGCAGCCAGACTTGTGATTCATGACTTTTTATTTTATTTGAAAGGTAATCAAATATTTTATTAATCAATGCATAATACACATGAAGTGTATTATCAATTTAAATCAGAAAGTAACAATATAAAATTAGGCCGTCCATCTACATGCCATTATGCCTATTAGTGCACAAATTTAATATAAAGTTAAAAATGTGAAACCATAAATGTATTTAAAATGTGTCTTTTTATGGAAGAAAGAGCCTAAAATCTGCACCTACATTCATCCATTCAATTGATAGAATGAAGAGAAAGCACAAATACGACAGATGTACACAAAGGGAATCTACTTTTTGCATCATTATACCACCGGTCATTCTTGTTCCTTACAAATCATATAACATCCAACATATACGATAGGCTCAGGATGCAAATGAGAAATTGTGGCTTGCAGATGTCTATGACAGCTTTGGCCACCCACTTTGTTTTATAATGATATCGTTTAGCAAGGTGAACAACCACCCTCCAATGAACAAATGTTTTTTAATTCAAGTTTCTGTTTCTTTATTTTGTGCGGTGGGGGGAGAGGAAGAGGGACAATACAGGTTTTGAAATACTTGACAATAAGTGTATCTCCATTAAAAGCTAAAAACCTGTACATAAGTGAAAAAAAAAAGGAACACGGTACCTGACCAAGAGTGGAAGAATCACATTCCAAAGAAGCAATTTTCTTCTGCTTTTCCAGAATCTGCAAACAGATCTGTCCTTTAGCTTTTGCCATCTGATCGTTTTCCTTTTTCAATCGCCTTGTTTCATTCTTTGCTGAATCATTTCACGTCAATAACTTTACAACTTTAAACAACAGGAGCAATATTTTTGGACTTAAAAGACTTTTGCGTAACTATATATTAAAAAGAAAAGGTACTACGCTAAGCTCAATTTAAAAAAAAAAAGAAAGGCTAGTTCGTAAACCTAAGTTATAATTGAACACGTAATTCAGTAAAATAAAAACATAATGGATCAGAATGAAAGGGAAGAATCTATGTAAATTCGAAAGGAGCCATGACTTGAATCAAAATTGCAAAAATAATTCCGATAAGCACACAGCTAACCTTAAAGCTAAGTGAATCTCAGTTGGAAATTTAATCCATGGATTCACAGCTCTATCGATAATGAGTGATTATTTTCTAAACAGTTTCAAATTCAAAATATAACAAAATCAAAAGAAAAAAATGGAGGAAACATGGACGAAATAACCAGCAATTACATCATCAGAAAAGAGTCTCTTTTAGAATAGTATTATTCGTCGATACTGCAAATTTTCTTTGACTAAAAGAAGGTTAGATAACGTAAAAATAGATATTACATGGCACAACCTAACTCGAGATCTTTTTCCAGAGTTTGAATAGTGGTGCTGAACATTTGCTCTTCGACTGTAATTTTGGCCGCTTGATCCTCAACATCTGCAATTCCTTGTATAATTACTAATCATTTCTATTTAATTTCGCATA